AATGCTTCCAAACACCCAGACTCTGGCCTTGAAATCAACCTGATATTTATATAAACATACAAATCCCTCCATTCAGTCAAAGCATAGTCACCTTTTCCTTCAGAGATATTGTGTTTCTTTCTTCTTTTCCAGTAAATTTCTATTTTTCCCAACCTTCATGGCTTAAGCATTTTATCCAGTTTAAACGATGGGATTTAAATTGCTATTTTAGTGGAAGAGGCTTGATTAAAACCTGTGTCCTCATCAAATTATTGGACAGTGGTTCCTGGGCTCTGTTTACATTAGTGTCAACCTTAATTTAAATTCTGCATAACTATATTTGCTTCGCTAAATGCATTCACCAGGAACACACCACAAATTACTTTGCATTATGAGCAGAGTCTCTTTGTCTATTGCAAAGTGTTTTGAAATTAGCACCATAAGTAACTAGCTGTAAGTGTCACTCGATCTCCTTAATGCCTCATTAATCAAACCCATGGCAGCTGGTGTGATGTCCAAGCCCCTTACATATAAGATCAGTATCAATGGCCCCCGCATTCGACCACAGTCTTTTAAACTTGAGTCATTATTTGCGTCCTTGCCCTCCCTTACAGTGGGACTCCTCCCACGGAGGCTCCCAGTGCATTCAGCCTTGCACGGCAACCAGTTGCATGCTTATTTTTTGCAGAAACTGGGAATCTATAATCTCAAGTTCAGGGAAAGGCTTTTCTTGGAAGAAGGGCCCCACCTGTTTCTCTGAGTTATCCCCAATAGTTCAACAGGATTTTCTGATTCATCTTAATCTTCCATGCTTAAAACATTTGCCTAAAGCAGTTTTTACTTATGTCAAGAATTAGAGAGAAAAGAAATATATCACCCACGCTGACTACAACCTGGACTCAGGTCTCATGAAGACAGAATATAAGTAGTCTAAGCACTTAATCTAGGCAGGGGAAAAGTGCTTGCTCTTTTGTTATGGGCTATGAGTTATCCTTTATAAAATATGAAATTTATCCTTTAAAAATATAGAATTTATCCTTTACAAATATAGAATTTTAAAACACATGGTTGCAAAAGAAAAGCAGACCAATTAGTCCTTGACAGCTTTACTACAGTCCTTATAGAAAACAGGGTCTTATCTGTCCATCCATGCGGGGACAAAATCACAGAAAAAGATATATTTTGTAGTGTTTTTCTTTTCATCGTTTTCATGGTGTAATCAAACATCTGCAGATCCCTAAATGAACCCTTCCTCTTCGCCACCCCCTCTGCCTGCATCACAACTGTGTGCAACACACACACACACACACACACACAAACACACACACTCCCCAATCTAACCCTAAGCATGATACTCTCTGGCGTTCAATTACTCAGCGGCTCTGCTGGACCACAGCTCTCTGAGCATTGCACAGGCTGTCGCAGCCTGGTGTGGAGTGCTGTCAGGGCAGGTCTCCCAGCACAGACCCCCAGTGGCGGTGGGGGCATGCATGGCCCCTCCACTGCCAGCACAGAGCTTACCCCACAGCAAGAAGGTGACCAGGTGCCCAGGCAGCGGCACGTGAGCCCGGCTCTTCGCAGAGCTGCTCTCAATGGGAAGCCTTTGGCTTCGTGGCCTTTCCTCTGACCACCCAGAGGGAGAAACAGAGGAAGAGCTTTCTTCTGCCGGTTTGTCAGTGAGAAACACACATATGTACACTCACACACACAGCACTGAAACTTTTTATCTCCCTCTGAGGGCCTTTTGGACCAAGGATATGTAATACAATTATAGAAAACCATTAAACTTTGGTGTTAAGCTTTTTGCCTTTTCACCTTATAAAGCCATTCAGGCTAAAACAGTCTCATTACAATGTAGTTAACCATGGTATCCTGGCTCCCAAAACCGGCACTGGAGGCAACACTCACTGTGATGGAACGCACATCCAACAGTGCAAACCTGTGTAGGATTTTGGATTTACTTGTACTTCATACTTTTGTTAATGTGATGCTGGGAGTGGAAGCTGAGACCATTCCCAAGCTAGGCAAGTGCTACATTCACAGCTGTGAGTTTGTTTTTATATTATTGTCATGTCTACTTTCCTTTATAGTATTTAAAATAAGCTATGACTTAAAAGAGCAAATGTGAAAGAACATTTTACTTATTTTTAGATGACATTTACTCTTATTATAAGTGTAACTTATGGCAATTACAAAAGGACATTTTCTGTCCCATTGCTAGTTCACCCAGTTTTTACTGATTCCCACAACCTCTATTCATTAGAATTCTGAACAAAATAAATAGAAAACCAGAATGATTTTCAGAAGTGGCAAATCACAACTGAACAGTTTTGAATTCAACTATTCCAAATTTTCCCCTCTTTTTAGCAGCTGGAAAAGTTTGACTATTGCAAGCAAAACTCGGCCTCAAATCCCCTTTCCCTACTCTCTACTCTTCATGATCTCTCTCTCTCTCTCTCTCTCTCCCCCCCCCCTTCCCCAAAGGGCAGCATTTGGTTTGGCAGCTGCACAAAGCACAAATCCCTGAACCCAAAAGGACAGCAGCGGTCACAGCTTGGGCTTGGGGGCAGGAATCAGACATAAACGATGGGAGAGTCCTGGGTCCCCACACTCTGGATTCTCCCCTTCTTTCCCTCACTACTCCTTGTAAAAAAAAAAAATTTTTTTTTAAAGGGCCGAGTGGAACCGGGCAAGAAGCAGCCCAGTGAAGGCACTGAGGCTGAGGGGACCCAGGCAGCCGCTCAGCTGCAGTGCGCAGCTGTGCTCTTATCTGGCCAGAGGAGACAGGGACAACAAAAGACCCCAAAGCAGGGACAGCGGATGCCTGGGAAAAGCACCAGCCCAGCATTGTGGTGCCCTTCTGCTGAGCAAATAGTTCAAACTGCTCCTTCCCATCTCCCATTCTCTCCCTGGTACATTGTTTGTGCCCTTGCATTTCATTCTGCAGAAAAGCGGCTCGCAGGGCCTGTGAGCAAACAGTCCAGAAGAGAGCTCGCCGGCCGCCTCTCCTCCCGGGAGAACTAGCATTTTTATTTCGGCTCCAAGCTGTCAAAGACCTGGAGAGTTTAAGTCAGTGTCCTGAATTAATTGCTTTAAGCTGGAGCAAGCTCCACAGGCTGCCCAATGTCCAGAAGATGTTTATTAATAATGTTTTCTTCAAGATTCTAACTCCAAGCTGTCCCTCGGTGTGGCCTTTATCCTTGTCACCCTCTCACCCCTGGCCTCTTGCTGCTCGGGAGGGGGTTGCCTCTTGCAGGCATCGTGACAAAATTTAGAATTTCCAGGGGTGAAAAAAAAATCCACCTGTGCAGCAGGATGTGTGTGGTGGGCATTTTTTCTCACCGGGAAAGGTCTGAGAGTTATAGCCACAGTAGGCAAGACCTTGGGGTGGGCTGGAGGGGCTGGAGGCTCCGGGACCCCTCTGCAGGGCCACTCAGGGCTGTCGGCACAAGGGGCAGATGGAGCCAGTGGCCCACGGTCTCCCCTCCCTGCAGCCACCTCCAGCAGAGAATTCAGGGAGACCCACAGCACAATGCTTTTGAAAGTTTTCCTAGTACAAAAAAAAAAAAAAAAGAGGCCTCTTTAATAGAATGAAATAATAAACCAATTTATATACCAATATAAGACCAGGATCGTGAGTGCCATTGTGTAATTTTCCACTTGACTTTTCATTATCTACCTGAAGAAAATCAATCTATATGGATGGGATCAGCCTACAATTCCAGAGATAAAAGCAGAAAATAAATGTGCTTTGCATACCCCCGAGATAAAAGACACTTACTACCTCCTCTTCTTCTCCCCAGCAGATGCATTTATAAAATAAACTGTTGTGTCAGGAAAGAGCCAGACATGGTGAATCTCCAGTGTTGACTCCTATGCTGGAAACATCGATCCCATGGAGGAACATGGTTAATAAGTACCCTGCAGACCATATCAGGTCCTTTGCCCTCCTTTTGCCAGAGTGTTGGCCTGGTCAGTGTTTCTCCCAACACAAGCGCTAATCTACCAAAAAGAAAAAAGAAAAAAAAAAAAAAAAACGAAAGAAACTTCCCCTATTAACATGGATTTAGGGCTGAGGACCTCAAGGGCCTCCTGAGTCCTCTCCACAGAGACAAAGCATACTGAAATCCACATCATATCAAAACCCCACTGTGCAGCAAATTCTGGCTCGTGAACTTCTTGGCTTTCTAAAAGGAAAGAGAGGCAGCTTCATGAGCATTTGGGATTCACTCTTTTCTTTTTACCTTAAACAGGTTTGGTTTCATTCTCTTATTCCCTTTCTATCCTCCCAAGTACACTTACTTGGTCCTACACCTCTGCCAACCTGGCCAAGCAGGGCCTATTTCTGCCCCCCTTCAGAAAGCTGCAGCCCCACCTCTGTGTGCCCTACTGACCACAAGTAGGGTCCAGAGAGCATGGAGGGTTTCAGCTGAACACTGCAGGCTCAGAGCCCCTGGGGAAGGCACGCTTGTCTGCCTCTGCAGCTGCCCCGCTGGTTCCAATCCTGTCCTGGGTTACTTTCCTGGACTGTACAGGTCAGCAAGTGAGGCCCACTGGTATGGGTGTTGGTTCACCTTTCACCTCCAACAATCACTGAGTTTATGGACATTTTTGGGTCAGCAGGAAGAATTAATGTCTGAGGTCACTCAGTGTGAGGCCAAAGCTTTCTAAAAATTAGTCACAGATCTTTTTTTTTTTTTTTTTCTGTTGTTTGGTTGGTTGGTGATTTAGATGGCTACTGGAGTTGGTGGACAGAATCTCAGGCATCCAGGCAAGTGCTCCAGCCCCAAGCTGCACCCCTAGGCTGAATTATGCTTCATTTGTCATACGATGGGGGCCAAATATCTCCTCGGCACCCTGCCAGTCACAATTTCAGTCTGACTAGCACTTTCGTATCTGAAGATCTGTGTTCTGCTGGCCTGGCACTTTGGACCAGCTCTGCAACTCTGGAATCTTGTTGCCCTCTCCCTTGTCTTGGCAAGTGGTGTGGGCACATGGCGCCCACCCGGAAGTGCACTCACCTGTCTTTGAACAAGTCTGGTGGTCCCAGGGAAGCATCCAGGAGCCACCTGACTGGGGTTCATGGCATTTTGGGGACATACTTGGGATAGGAGAAGCTTATATGCTTTCAGTCACATGGGCTCTTAGGAAAACATGTACAAATTTCCTCCTCTAGCTCATCGTTTTGTTCCAGGAACTGTGAGTAAGCAAAGCTAGATAAAACATAAGGAAAGGTACACAGTTAGAGTTCTGCCTAAAAAGAGCATTCATGCTGGGAAAAGCCCCTAGATTCTCCTGGCAAAAACAATGCTCCTAAAGAGTCTAGGATGAATTCAAGGTGTATTTTACCCATGGCTTAAATATTAATTCAATAAAAATGGCATTCTACAGAACTGATAATAGTGTCACCCAGCAGACAGAAAATCTTTTAGGAGTGTCAGACCCCCAACTTCTGTGAGGAATGAGAGCACACCAGAGAGGGCACTGCCAGTTATAAGGACATGCTGGAAACTGTCATTGCTGAGTGACATCACATCCATCCCCTTTAGCTGGGATGACACTCCCTGCCTAAGCAGAGATCCTGGCACAGAGTTGCAACACAATCCGTGATTGTGGAATAAATATTTACAAAACAGGAAAAACTAGATTTCTTTAAAAGGTATTGTTAGTGACCACAGAATGTGATGTTATTTCCCAGGGGAAGGAAATGGACCGCCAGAAGTCCAGTAAACGTACCTAGGCCCATACCTGTGGATAAATACAGGAAGACAGAAAGTTATTGTTAACTTTGCTAGCTCTGGCATTTGAAAAACATATACTAGCAGTCCTAATCTTTACAGGTGAGTGTAAGACAGCTCAGAAACGAGGGTGGAAACATTCACACATGAGTCCGGGGTGACGTCATGGACAAAGGCCTGACCTCCAGTTGTTTGAACACCTACGAGATCCCGGGTGGAGGAAACAGGGTCTATACGAGTGCAGGCTAGCCTGATAACCTATCTGCCTGTGTTTCCTGGACTCAGCTACATTTCCCTCCACCACAGCTTCATTCTTCCCATTCCATGGGTGCACAGAAGTTTTACAAATAACCAAAGTACAGAGTAGTCTTGATTTACACCAATACCACCAATACAAACAAGTGTGATGAAATGTGGTTCCCTCAACCACAAAGCTGCTACAACAGACTGGACAGAGGCACAGGAAGCCCACGCCACGGGTGAAGAACAAAGGTTTTCTTGGCCTGTGGGAAAGGCATTTAGTTTTAACCCTTCCATGGAGGCCACGGGCAAGGGAATGCTTTCCTAGGGCAGGGGATAGGGATGGGAAGGGGTGAGTCCCGGTCCTACCCAGAATCTCCTGTGCACCCGCTCCCTTCCAGGGGAGGGGGCGCCGCTGAAGCCCCTCCTCCTGACCTGGGAGAAGTGAGTTACCAAAAGGGACTGGGAGAGAGCCGACCGTGCTCCGAAGATGCCACAGCTATGCACAGTACATATGTCCCTCAAAGTGCTCTAGATTAAGACAGTTGTTTTTAAAATGGAAGAAAAAAAATAAATGTTATTTATCCACATGACAATTTGAAAAGTGAGTGACATTTTCATTTTAAAAGCATACTGTGGAGGAAAATTCCTGGATAATATTACTGTACTATGCTAGAGAGAACGGACAATATTACTATATGGTGCTAGAGAGGACAGATGTGTTGTGAGAGACGCTTAGATAATTCATGCTGTGGCTTACAGCCTATAACAAGTGGTTTACATTTTTACAAGTCGAAAAATAAATGAAAAATCTCTAAAACTAAATTAACATTTTGGCCAGTAAAATGATGCTTTCGTTGCTTTCTGTAACACTTCTTAGAATACCACAATTGTGTAATAATAACTATGTATCCTGGGTGGTGGAGTGCCTGCCTGGCACACACAAAGCCTTGGATTCCATCACACACACGCACACACACAGGCGCGCACACACACACACACACCACTGCCGCCACCGCCGCTACAGCCACCACCAACAGCAAAACAACAAAAACAAAAAGAACCCACTCTGTATCCTTATTCAACTTCTGCCGTGTTACTAATATAGGAACCCATAATGCCACCACGGAGAGAAAGGTTTCTTTTAGAGAAATGAGAAAACAGTCACTCTATTATGTAGCTTGGATGCTAGTGCTTTACAGCAATCTCCTCCAAAAGCATCGACTGCTCCCCCAGATGCGAAGAACCCTAGGCTGCCCCACAGCAACTGCATCAAATATGTTCATGTAATGTGGGGCTCGGCTCGTGAAACCTAGCTAATGGTCAAATGTACCTCATTTTCCCTCCTGCAAGACAGAGATTCACAGCGAAACACAGCGGGCACGGAGCTCGGGTAATTGCAAGTTTCACTGTAAAAGGAGCTGTCCTCTGCAGAAGTTACCAGGCCTCCACTCAGGCATCACCGAAAAGGTCAAGAAGTATCTGCACCCCAGTGCAGAAAAAATGTTTTGCTTCCCAACTTCTGAGCTCCATTCACACTGAGCAGCTGTGGGCTGGCGCAGCTGCACCAGGCTCCTCCTCAGAGAATCTGGAGTCAGACACGCGAGTTTATAAACCCAAGGACATGGGTGGAAAACCATTCTCCCCCTTTGCTTTCTTTGGGAGGAGGAAAAGAACAAAAGGACAATAGGAAATACACTGGGGCTCTTCTTACTTTGAAGAAAGATAAGAATCCATTTTCAAGTAATTTGAAGAATGAGAATTCTGGTAATGACTCCCAATCCCTGTTTTCCTGATTCCAACCACACATAGCAAGGTGCAGTTTCTTTGTGATTGTGATTTTCTTTTTCCTTTCGAGTACATAAGTAATTAAACAAAGAAAAGCCAACAGACAGCAGGATATTTTGGTCGACATCACACAAAGTAATCTCACATTTACAAAAGGATATTCAATTTCAAAATTCTGTATGTCTCTCCCTGTCCCACCTAAAAAGCCACCTCCTGTCCAAATACGCAGAGCTGAGTTGATGAGACCTCATACACAGACTGTTGGTCACGTAAAGAGAATCTGAGCTCCCCGTCATGGCTTGGATGGAGTTAGAGAAGTATGAGTCCAGCATCCATTTGTTCTTGGTGGAGACCGGTTTTCTGGCTTTTACCTGCCTCCCGAGGCTCTGTGCACGGCTGCATTCCCATACGGGGCACCCACAGAATGTCACATGCTTCGCATCAATGGCAATTAGTTCCCTTTTTAAAATGGAAAATGTCATTAAGTTCTTGAATAATTCAAGAGTAGAGGTCACAATACAGTGTCCCTTTTGGGGGTCTTTATGGTGCAAATGGTAAAACAAGGCGATCCTATCTGTAGGAGTAAGATCTAAGGTTACAATGTAGCTCTATTTAGTGTGACAGGAAAATTAAATTACACAAGGCACTCACTCATTGTCACCCGCTAACAGGCTTGGGAAAATCGTGGATCCCCCCCCGGGGGGGGGGAGTCACCACCAACATGCTAGGGAAATAAAAATATTTCATTTTAATTGGCTGCGGTTTCCTTTGCTTGATTTTGAAAATAACAAACACACTTTCAGCACAACTCTACTTGAAAACAGACTCTTGTCTTTCTCGGATCTCACGATTTACAGAATCAGCCCAAGAACAACTCGGTTAACTACCCACCCACCCACCCCCGGGAAACCTGGGAGGAAACTGGGCCGGGGTTCGAGTCCAAGTGATGGAGCCTGGCCTCAGCCATCCGGTTCTCTAGGTGGCAGCGGACCCGGAGGCCACCGGGCCTCCTTCCTTCGTCGGGACAGTCAGGGCCAAGGCAGCGGGACCTGGAAGACACCCCCCCCCACCCGCTTCCCCACTGCCGCCCTGCACCCTGAGCCCCGAGGGGTTTCCGCCCCCAGTGCCCCTGACCGGGTCCAGGCTGTAGGCGTGGCCTCTGCCCAGGGTCCCTAACCCGCCCTGGACGCCTCTGGCCGACCTTGGCCCTGCGGGGAAGACGGGCGCGCGGTCCTCCGGGCAGCAGCGACAGGGTGGGGTCGTTGCCCTGCACTCCGGGACTTGGAAAGGAACAAGAGCTGCAAGATCGTTGTCCCTTTTGCCTCGCGCTTTTCAGATTTTTTTTTCTTGGTAAATAAAGTCTAGCTCCCTGGAAAGTACTCTGTCCGAAAAGAGGGCGCAGACAGCTGGAGAAGCCCAGGTCTCCAAGTCCGCAGCCTTGCTCGCCTGGGAGCTCCCGCGCCCCAGCCAGGTCCCTAGTTCCCTGAGCGCACGGCTCAGGGACGAGCTGAGCGCTCCACCCGGTGCCAGGCGCTCGAGGGGAGCAGCGGCCTGAGACTTCTCCCGAAAGAGCAAACGGGGTGACGTTCGGTTTCTGAAGCAGGCCGAATATGGGGACACTTGGAGAAAGGGAGGCATATAATGCTTGAGAAAACTTGCATTGCAGGGTGATTTGAGCCCAAGGCGAGTGATTTGCGCCTACATTTGGACCTGTTTCCTAGGAGAATTAAAGAACAAGCTTCAAGCTTGGGGGGTAGGGGTTGGAGAAGGGGGCGGTTTAGATGTTTTTCATTTTGTAACGCTGCCATTTAAGCAAACACTTGGGGCCTCTAGTCCGCTATAATTCCAAAGGCAATTTTCTCTGGTTTTAATTTGATTTGCATTTTTCAACTTTGATAATATTCAATTTCATGGCCGAGTACACATGTAAACACGGCTGGGTCTTGTTTTTCGCCCCTTGTACCAAACCGAATATGGCTTGTCTCGGAGTGTTATTGGTGGTTACACGCAAAGTCCTCAACATATCTTTAAGTTTTCCCTGAATTATTTTTCAAAATTTAAAGCACAGCTTTGCTTGGACTCCGGAGGTGGCAAACTACTATATCAACACTATACTTAGGCAAGGTGCGGGGAGACCTGAACGAACATTGCAAAAATGGAGGTGATAAAGAAAACAAATTCCTATCCAACAGAATTGATTCTATTTCTATCCAGAAATATTGCCATATTGTATTAATAATTTTAAACAACCCAAAAATGATCAATTCCACAGCAATGTTTTTAACAAATAGTATTGCCACAAGGTCAAACACAAAGAAATTGTTCAAGGACGAGTTTAATGCACACCATGGAGCTGGTGTGTCAAACGTAACAGACGAAAATATAAAATGAAATCGAGTAATTAGTTTTAGTCATATCAAAACTGATTTTCAACAAAATAGCCAACTAGGGCAACCAGCTCATGACAAGGAAACCAGGGCACTGTGACCTGCTGTGGTGTGCTACACCCAGAATTCATAATCTT